GGTTGGGTTAAACTCTAACAACCATTTGCTCGACCATTCCTTCAGCTTGTCTAGGTCTTCTTGAAGCCTCAAACAGTCCTCTTCTGTTTTAATCCTTCTCATAATTTTAGCATCGTCCGCATACATTGAGAGAAATGAATCGATACCCTCTGTGTGTGTGTGCGTGTGTGTGTGTTGAGGCTGGCTCTTAACGCTTGTGTTGCACTCAAGTGTTGCTGGCTACATGGCTCTTGGCGACACCATTGACGCTGGTGGGGGTGTGGGGTTGTGGTGGGGGTGTTGAGTGTGGGTGTGGGGTGGTGCTGGGGATGTGGGGTGGGGATGTGGGGTGGGGGTGTGGGGAGGGCTGCTGGCCAAGCCATCAATACCCCACCCACCACCCGCAACGCGTCCCGCCCCAGATTAATTGTACTGATACACAGGAGAGTCGAGGACTAAACTGGGCACACAAGCCTCGATATGACCAAAGTCTCCTTCCCTTTTTTCTCGTGTTGAACGTGCTCAGTAAATGTATTAGGTTAGTGAACACCTTGCACCTGGAGACTGTGTGAGTGACGTCAAGGTGTCGGGTGGTTCCTTGTGGCTCTCTTCTTCTTCAAGCATCTTGCTCTTATTAGAACATTATGAGCTATCAATATATGTATTGTGAAGGTGGGAGGCCACGGACCACTGCAGTATAGAAAATAGGGGGTAGAGGTTATGTTACCTGTCCATTATTGATACCAAGCTGTGTGTGTGTGTGTACTCACCTAGTTGTGCTTGCGGGGGTTGAGCTCTGGCTCTTTGGTCCCGCCTCTCAACTATCAATCAACTGGTGTACAGGTTCCTGAGCCTACTGGGCTCTATCATATCTACACTTGAAACTGTGTATGGAGTCAGCCTCCACCACATCACTGCCTAATGCATTACATTTGTCAACCACTCTGACATTTACAAAATTCTTTCTAATATCTCTATGGCTCATTTGGGCACTCAGTTTTCACCTGTGTCCCTTAGTGCGTGTGCCCCTTGTGTTAAATAGACTGTCTTTATCTACCCTGTCAATTCCTCTGAGAATCTTGTACGTGGTGATCATATCCCCCCTAACTCTTCTGTCTTCTAGCGACGTGAGGTTTAATTCCCGTAGTCTCTCCTCGTAGCTCATACCTCTCAGCCCGGGTACTAGTCTGGTGGCAAACCTTTGAACCTTTTCCAGTTTGGTCTTATGCTTTACTAGATATGGACTCCATGCTGGGGCTGCATACTCCAGGATTGGTCTGACATAGGTGGTATACAAAGATGTTATCCTCTTGATATGAGCTTCAGGGGACAGGTCTGGCGTGATATCAATCCCCAGGTCTTTCTCTCTCTCTGACTCTTGAAGAATTTCATCTCCCAAATGATACCTTGTAACTAGCCTCTAGCTCCTTACACCTATCTTCATTACATTACATTTGCTTGGGTTAAACTCTAACAACCATTCCTTTTCGACCATTCCAGTGTGTGTGTGTGTGTGTGTGTATGTATGTATGTATGTATTTATTTACTATATGTACCTGAAGGATCGAGCTGTATGTTTGTGTGCGCGCGCGCGATATATATATATATATATATATATATATATATATATATATATATATATATATATATATATATATATATATATATATATATATATATGCGAACAAGCCAGAATGGTCCCCTGGACAATATGCAACTGAAAACTCACACCCTAGAAGTGACTCGAACCCATACTCCCAGAAGCAACGCAACTGGTATGTACAAGACGCCTTAATCCACTTGACCATCACGACCGGACAAAATGAGGTGATAGCCGAGGCTATTTGAACCACCCCACCGCCGGCACCGGCCACCGGCCACCGCTTTTGTCCGGTCGTGATGGTCAAGTGGATTAAGGCGTCTTGTACATACCAGTTGCGTTGCTTCTGGGAGTATGGGTTCGAGTCACTTCTAGGGTGTGAGTTTTCAGTTGCATATTGTCCAGGGGACCATTCTGGCTTGTTCGCATTTGTGTTCCTCACGTGTGCCCCTAAGAATGAGGTGATTTGGTAAAATGCTATGCCCAAGATAACTATCCGAGTGCCGGCGGTGGGGTGGTTCAAATAGCCTCGGCTATCACCTCATTTTGTCCGGTCGTGATGGTCAAGTGGATTAAGGCGTCTTGTACATACCAGTTGCGTTGCTTCTGGGAGTATGGGTTCGAGTCACTTCTAGGGTGTGAGTTTTCAGTTGCATATTGTCCAGGGGACCATTCTGGCTTGTTCGCATTTGTGTTCCTCACGTGTGCCCCTAAGAATGAGGTGATTTGGTAAAATGCTATGCCCAAGATAACTATCCGAGTGCCGGCGGTGGGGTGGTTCAAATAGCCTCGGCTATCACCTCATTTTGTCCGGTCGTGATGGTCAAGTGGATTAAGGCGTCTTGTACATACCAGTTGCGTTGCTTCTGGGAGTATGGGTTCGAGTCACTTCTAGGGTGTGAGTTTTCAGTTATATATATATATATATATATATATATATATATATATATATATATATATATATATATATATATATATATATATGTATATATATAGACACTTGACAAAGTTGGGAAGAAAGTCAGAAAATAAGACACCTGAATCTCGTCGTCTTCTAGATCATCCTATCAGAGTAACTATGTAAACCCCTCGTGTCGTTCATACTGGGAAAGCAGACCACAGCAGCAGGCTGACTGCAGGACGAGACCAACACAACACAATTACCCACGAGGCTAAATTGTCGACCACAAACACTCGCCTGGTATTCAGGGAGAGGAACAGTGGTGGTGGTAGTCACCTCCTGTTCTTATTGGCCTCCTCCGGGACCTAACGACTCGACTACAGGCTGTTAATAGAGCCTAACGCAAGGCAGTTATAGCCAGTGATCTTCAGCCTTAGTGTGTGCAACGCCTTGGAGATGACTTACTAAGGAAGTCATTTATTTATTTACGATTGGATGCGCTTTATCAGTTCGTATGTGTTATTGGCTGGTGTGTGGGGGGTGGGGGGAGTTGTGGGGTGGGTGTAGGGAGAGTTGGGGGGTGGGGGAGTTGTGGGGTGGGTGTGGGGAGTGTTGGGGGGTGGGGGAGTTGTGGGGTGGGTGTAGGGAGAGTTGGTGGGTGGGGGAGTTGTGGGGTGGGTGTGGGGAGTGTTGGGGGGTGGGGGAGTTGTGGGGTGGGTGTAGGGAGAGTTGGGGGGTGGGGGAGTTGTGGGGTGGGTGTGGGGAGTGTTGGAGGGGATGGGGAAGGTTGTGGGGTGGGTGTAGGGAGAGTTGGGGGGGGAGGGGGGAGTTGTGGGGTGGGTGTAGGGAGAGTTGAGGGGGAGGGGGGAGTTGTAGGGAGTGTTGGGGGGACTGTTTCTAGACTGCCAAAAGGCCTTTGATACAGTACCGCACATGAGACTGCTATTCAAACTTGAGAGGCAGGCAGGAGTAAGTGGAAAGGCCCTAGTATGGGTGAGGAACTACTTAACAGGAAGGAGCCAGAGAGTAAAAGGGGCGAGAAGTCGGACTGGCGAACAATAACGAGTGGAGTACCACAAGGATCGGTGCTGGGACCAATTCTATTTCTAATTTACGTAAATGATATGTTTACAGGAGTGGAATCATACATGTCAATGTTCGCGGATGACGCAAAACCAATGAGAAGAGTTGTGACATGAGGATTGTAGGATCCTCCAGCAGGACCTGGACAGGTTGCAGAGAAGGTCAGAGAAATGGCTACTGGAGTTCAACACGAGTAAAAGTAACGTTATGGAAATGGGATCAGGTGATAGGAGACCAAAGGGACAGTACACAATGAAGGGGAACTGCCGACCTGTGACGATACGAGAAAGAGACCTGGGTGTGGACGTAACACCTAATCTAACTCCTGAGGCACATATAAATAGGATAACGACAGCAGCGTACTCTACACTGGCAAAAGTTAGAACATCGTTCAGAAACCTAAGTAAGGAGGCATTTAGGGCGCTTTACACTGCCTACGTGAGGCCAGTCTTAGAGTATGCTGCGTCATCATGGAGTCCCCACCCGAAGAAACACATAAGGAAACTGGAAAAGGTTCAGAAGTTTGCGACGAGGCTTGTCCCAGAGTTACGAGGGATGGGATAAGATGAGCGCCTGAAGGAACTGAACCTGACGACACTAGAAAAAAGAATGGAGAGGAGGGGGGATATGATAGGAACGTATGCAATACTCAGGGAAAGACAAATTGGAAATAGATGAAATGTTCACACGGAATAGTAACAGAACGAGGGGACATGAGTGGAAGCTGGAAACTGGGGTGATTTGGGGTGTGAGGGGGGCTTTTGGGTGGGTGTGTGTGTGTGTGTGTTTACCTATTTGTACTCACCTATTTGTGCTTGCGGGGGTTTAGCTTTGCCTCTTTGGTCCCGCCTCTCAACTGTCAATCAACTGGTGTACAGATTCCTGAGCCTACTGGGCTCTATCATATCTACATTTGAAACTGTGTATGGAGTCAGCCTCCACCACATCACTGCCTAATGCATTCCATCCGTTAACTGCTCTGACACTGAAAAAGTTCCTTCTAACGTCCCTGTGGCTCATGTGGGTACTCAAGTTTCCACCTGTGTCCCCTTGTTCGCGTACCACCCGTGTTGAATAGTTTATCCTTGAGTGTGTGTGTGTGTGTGTGTGTGTGTGTGTGTGTGTGTGTGTGTGTGTGTGAGTGAGTGAGTGAGTGAGTGTGTGTGTGTGTGTGTGTGTGTGTGTGTGTGTGTGTGTGTGTGTGTCACGTGAGGTGGTTTTGACCAACACCTCCCCCCCTCCCCCCTCCCCCCCCCCCCCCACTCCATGTTCTTCCCGCATTACCACTTGTCGGTCCTTCACCGGCCGTGTAGCACTTTAGTAAAGGCTGATGTCGACGGCGGCTTAGACGGTGTCGAGCAAGGGGGGGGGGGGGGGGCTGTCGGCCTGTAGCAAGGTGCATGTTGACAGGTGTTGGCACGGGGCCGTCGTCTCCACCTCCCGCTGACACCACATGTGCCCCCGTGGCTGCTGTGGCTCCGTGGCTGCTGTGGCTCCGTGGCTGTTGTGGCTCCGTGGCTGCTGTGGCTCCGTGGCTGCTGTGGCTCCGTGGCTGCTGTGGCTCCGTGGCTGTTGTGGCTCCGTGGCTGCTGTGGCTCCGTGGCTGCTGTGGCTCCGTGGCTGCTGTGGCTCCGTGGTTGCTGTGGCTCCGTGGCTGCTGTGGCTCCGTGGTTGCTGTGGCTCCGTGGCTGTTGTGGCTCCGTGGCTGCTGTGGCTCCGTGGTTGCTGTGGCTCCGTGGCTGTTGTGGCTCCGTGGCTGTTGTGGCTCCGTGGCTGTTGTGGCTCCGTGGCGGTTGTGGCTCCGTGGCTGCTGTGGCTCCGTGGCTGTTGTGGCTCCGTGGCTGTTGTGGCTCCGTGGCTGCTGTGGCTCCGTGGCTGCTGTGGCTCCGTGGCTGTTGTGGCTCCGTGGCTGTTGTGGCTCCGTGGCTGCTGTGGCTCCGTGGCTGCTGTGGCTCCGTGGCTGCTGTGGCTCCGTGGCTGCTGTGGCTCCGTGGCTGCTGTGGCTCCGTGGCTGCTGTGGCTCCGTGGCTGCTGTGGCTCCGTGGCTGCTGTGGCTCCGTGGCTGCTGTGGCTCCGTGGCTGCTGTGGCTCCGTGGCTGCTGTGGCTCCGTGGCTGCTGTGGCTCCGTGGCTGTTGTGGCTCCGTGGCTGCTGTGGCTCCGTGGCTGCTGTGACTCCGTGGCTGCTGTGGTTCCGTGGCTGCTGTGGCTCCGTGGCTGCTGTGGATCCGTGGCTGCTGTGGCTCCGTGGCTGCTGTGGCTCCGTGGCTGCTGTGGCTCCGTGGCTGCTGTGGCTCCGTGGCTGCTGTGGCTCCGTGGCTGCTGTGGTTCCGTGGCTGCTGTGGCTCCGTGGCTGCTGTGGCTCCGTGGCTGCTGTGGCTCCGTGGCTGCTGTGGCTCCGTGGCTGCTGTGGCTCCGTGGCTGCTGTGGCTCCGTGGCTGCTGTGGCTCCGTGGCTGCTGTGGTTCCGTGGCTGCTGTGGCTCCGTGGCTGTTGTGGCTCCGTGGCTGCTGTGGCTCCGTGGCTTCTGTGGTTCCGTGGCTGCTGTGGCTCCGTGGCTTCTGTGGCTCCGTGGCTGCTGTGGCTCCGTGGCTTCTGTGGCTCCGTGGCTGTTGTGGCTTCGTGGCAGACCATCACATCAACAGTGATAGAGACTGTGAGAACCCAGCAGAGCGCAGACTGCACAAAGCAGCAGTTGGAGAGTGAGGACTACGTGATAATGTACCAGAGGAGCCAGAGGAGGCCAGATAAGTGAAGGTGTGAAGCAGTCTGGTCCAGGCTACGGAGGCTTGCAGAGTGGACCGTCTCCACCAGTGAAGCTCAACTTTAACATTACCCTAGTGTGTATACCTAGGGTGTGTACACTAGGGTATACCTAGGGTGTGTACACTAGTGTGTATACCTAGGGTGTGTACACTAGGGTATACCTAGGGTGTGTACACTAGTGTGTACACCTAGGGTGTGTACACTAGGGTATACCTAGGGTGTGTACACTAGGGTGTACACCTAGGGTGTGTACACTAGGGTACACCTAGGGTGTGTACAGTAGGGGGTTTATATACCGACAGAAGAGAAGAGATTGAGGACCAGTGAGACGTACCAACAAGTGTGTATTAACCAGGGCATCACGGAGGAGGAGGAGGAGGATGATGGAGATGAACCCACGAGAGTGAGAGAGGCATAACACTACCTCCAAGGGACAGCAGGCCAGGCAAGGCCAGGCAGAGACTACAACCGAACAAAGTAGTGAGTCTGCCCTGCCTGGTGTAGCGTCCACTGCAGCCTTCAGACGTGTCATCTTACACGCGCTCACGCTCGCCAAACATGGAGAGAAAAGCTGGTGAACGCAGCCAACAAGCATTTCGTGATAAAACATACGACAGAGTGGAGAAGAAGGGTAGAGAACCGCCAGCAAGACGAGCCCTTGTGTGTGTTCCAAGACCGGCCCCAAGGAGCAGCTTCAGCACACTCGGCCTCGTACAACAAGTGGAGTGGATGAAATAATTCACCGTGAAGACGGTACATAAGATCACGTAGTTCACAACCTGTAAATGTGCGGGTGTGAGCGCGCTGTTTAAGTCACTCAAGCTGGGAGTCGGCCAGGTGAGCCCCAGGTGAGCCCCTGGTGAGCCCCAGGTGAGCCCCAGGTGAGCCCCAGTAGCACTCTTGCATACAGCACCCGTCACTCGTGGTGCCATGCCAGTATCTGGGTCGGGTTTCTTGTCTTCCAATTTGTAGCGGAGGTCGGTGGCGGCGGCGGCGGCGGGCGCGAGGGGCACTACCCCGCCGCGTCCTCTGATTATGCCCACCTTGACTTGATAATTGTTTTGATAGCCGGGGAGGGCGGGGGAGCCACACCTGGCTATCACTTGATTGATCCTCGCACACAGGTAACTACCACCACGCCACCATCTCTTATTCCTCCTCCTCCTTCTCCTCCTCCTCCTCCTTCTCCTTCTTATCCTATCCTTCTCTTCCTTCTTCTTACTCCGCCTCGTCGTCGTCCTGGTGAACATCAGACCCAACTTAGGAATCTAGACAAGAGTATGCAGCACCAGCCTGGAGCCCCCCACATCATAAAACACTAAACAAAGATAGAGAAAGTGCGGAAACCTGCACAGATTTGCTACAAGAGTGGTGGCCAAGTTGAGGATGACTGGGATATGAGGACACACTGAGGGAGTTGAATCATCTTCCTCACACACACACACACACACACACACACACACACACACACACACACACACACACACACACACACACACACACACACACACACACACACACACTTTCACACTCTCTCACACTCTCTCACACTCACACACTCTCACACTCTCTCACACTCTCACTCACTCACTCACTCACTCACTCACTCACTCACTCACACATACATATGTGTGTGAGCCACACACATATGAAACAACCAAAAGAGCCACAACAACAACCAAAAGCCACAACCAAAGAGTCAAAGCTCAATCCCCGCAAGCATAATTGGGTGAGTATATCCTTGCCACCAGGATCAGTAGGTGGGTTCACAGGACTAACACCCAACCACATCAAACAAATGCTCAACCCTGCACTGGGAGACATTGCACAGGGCCTCCTGGTGGAACTAACTAGATTCGCCAACACATGTCTAGCTGGCAATATACCAGAGACCATACGGCCTATCATTTTTGGCGCTACCCTCTGTGCCCTGAGGAAAAAAGGTCTAGGAATCAGACCGATAGCTGTGGGCAATTCACTCCGGCGTCTCGTCGCTAAGGCTGCTGCTAGAACAGTTAGTCAGGCAGCAGCCGACATGCTGAAGCCAAAACAGCTTGGGTTTGGTATTCCCCAAGGGTGTGAGGCAGCGGCTCATGTAGCTAGAGCCTACATTGCCAACATTACAGATGAAAAAACCCTGATAAAACTGGACTTCAAAAATGCTTTCAATCTGGTAAGAAGGGATGCAGTACTCAGTGCAGTTCATCGCTTTTTTCTCCCTTCCCTCTACCCTTTTGTAAACTCATGCTACAGCAAGAATCTCACTCTGCTATTCGGGGAACATGAAATTGAATCACAAGAAGGCGTCCAACAGGGTGACCCCCTTGCTCCTTTTCTTTTCTGCCTAGTCATCAAGGAAGTCACCGATAACCTGTCCGGTGAGCTCAATATTTGTTTTTTGGACGATGGTACTCTAGTTGGCTCCCCAGACTCCCTCCTGGATAACATACGAATAATTCAGGAGCAAGAAGCAAGTCTAGGCCTCATCCTGTACTCTTCCAAGTGCGAAATAACCTTCACCAACCAGCACATAATAGAGCGAATTAAGGTTGTTTTGCCTGATATTCATATAACCAACCCTGAGGACAGCACACTCCTAAGAGCTCCTCTTGGAAGGAATGCCATCGACGAGGGCCTTGGTTAGAAGATCACTGACCTGAAGAGGATGGATAAGAGGATTGAAGACATCGATGCTGATGATGCTGGTGCACTTTGCCTCATCACCAGATGCTTGTCCTTCCCCAAGCTGACCTACTTTCTTAGATGTTCGCCATCTTTCACTAATATTATATTAGAAGAGTACGACAGCCTGCTGAAATCAATGCTAGAAAAAGCCCTCAACCTTTCTCTCAGTGACTCACAGTGGAAACAAGCCTCCCTGTCAGACTCGGGGGGCCTCGGCGTTCGCACAGCAACACAAATTGCTGTACCAGTGTCCCTGTCCTCTTCAGTGGCGTCTGACAACCTGGTGAAGGAAATCCTCCCCGAATACCTAGTTCAACAGGCAGGGGTACATGATCCCAGCTTTACAGACGGCACCACCAAATGGGTCTCTCTCGCAGGACTAGCACCCCAACCACCGCCTTCTGAAGCCCATAAGCAATCCAGCTGGGATCGCCCCATTCCCGACCAAGAAGCTGCAACATTGCAAGAAGCTGCGACAACACCACATGACACTGTCCGACGTAGAGCTGTAGCAGCTCCCCATGCAGGTGACTTCCTATTAGCAACCCCAATGTCAGCAACCGGCACTCGTCTCACACCGCAGGCCCTCAGATTTGCTGTGACTCTCTGCCTCGCTGCCCCAATCCACACCGAATACAGGTGTATTTGCGGCGAGGCCGTGGCGGACAGGTACGGACGGCATGGTTTCCTCTACCAAAGGACAGGAGGATGGCATGCAAGACACGGCGAGGTTAACGACATTATTAAGAGAAGCCTTACCACAGCCGGTTGTCCAGCAGAGGTTGTCCGTTACCTAATGCCCCGCAACTCTGATGAACCTGTCGGTCGCCCGACGGGATCACGGTGAACCCCTGGAAGAATGGTAGACAGTTGGTGTGGGACTACACTTGCGTTTCAACTTTAGCCAACACCTATGTTGACTTCAGTGCTACACAAGCAGGAGGTGCTGCCAATCACCGGAAAGCAGCCAAGTCGCGTAAATATGGAGATCTTGATCACCACTACAATTTTGTCCCCATTGCCTCAGAGACACTTGGTGACTGGGGTAAAAGTGCTGATAGTTTTTTTTTTTTAAAGGAGCTGGGTTCCAAGCTAATTGAAACAAATAGGGACCCTAGAGCCACCAGGTTCCTCTTTCAGCGCCTTAGTGTGGCGATCCAGAGAGGAAATGCTCACTGCATCCATGGTTCCTGCCCGCCATCTGAGGAGCTGGAGGAGCTCTACAACCTGTGACCAGTAGCATTGTACCCGGCATGTAACCAATGTAGTTACCCTTTTTGTGTAATGAAATTTTCAATAAAGTGAGTTATATATATATACACGTACTAAAAGAAGAATACTGTCTTCTTCTACTATCCTTAAAGTGTTCAGTGAGGATCCACAAGGTCTTCTCTGAGTACTCTTTATTTTCTTCTCCGAGGCTATGATTCCCTACACTTGCAAAAGAAGTGGTACCCCTTTTAGGGTTAAATATATATATATATATATATATATATATATATATATATATATATATATATATATATATATATATATATATATATATATATATATAATATTTTCATTCATTCATTCATTTCTGAAATTCAATAATTAATAATTTGTGTATTTTCTTTTTCATGCATGGTGGCCGCTTTCCTGATGCTGTACTTCAGGGCGTGAGTATTGTACTGTGACCTTGTGTGTGTGTGTGTGTGTGTGTGTGTGTGTGTGTGTGTGTGTGTGTGTGTGTGTGTGTGTTTGTACATACGTTCGCGTGCCTGTGCGTGCTCGTTGTTGATATTCATTGAGAACATTTCCAGGTGTTCACAACCTGGAAATTTCGTCCAGGTTGTGAACAACCTGGACGTCCTCCAGGTTGTTCGTCCTCCTCTCGTCCTCTCTCTCTGGCGGCTCGGTGCCCGGCTCCCGCAGCCAGCACCAGGCTGTGGGAGCCGCAACCCGTTCTCGCAAATTCGTAAAGTCAATATTGACTTATTAACTACGTGCATAGGTGATATACTAAACATAATAGATACCCTTAAAAAGATTCATAGAAAACACCAACCTTAGCTAACCTTGTTAGTATCTTAAGATAAGCATCTTATTGCTTCGTAATTACAATTATTACTTAACCTATACCTATTATAGGTTAGGTAATAATTGTAATTACGAAGCAATAAGATGCTTATCTTAACATACTA